TACGAAGAGAGGGTTCTACCGGAGCACATTCCGGAGCCAGGGGCCGCCCGGACCGTTTTTAATCATGCTGGGAAGAGTGAAACGGATACTTACTCATCTAACTTGTTAAGCAGATTACTAATTCATAGCTTCAGTGACCGAGCTAGGTGTCTTGTCCATTTAGGCAACTTGAAAGCAAGCATTGAGCGATAAGACAAATGAGGGACAGCCAGCTTCGTAGGGGAGGTCAGATCCCTCGCGTGCGGCCTTCTAATGAGTCCCTAGCGAATTAGAGATACGGGTACGATATGCACTGACGTCGAACGTTCCAATTCCCTTAACCGCGAATTGTGCCTTCACAACGACTTTTACCACCGTTTCTTCAGATCGGAACCGAGCGTTTCCTCGCGTGCCGCATCTGAGGTTGCCGCGAGCCTCAAGGGCGGCACGCCCGGAACCCATCGGAGATCCCCAACATTCTTCATCCTAAGTCCGGCCGCGAGTGGGGAAACAGAGAATGAACATGGATAGGTAGGATTGATATCACTCGACGTGACCTGAATCAGAGATGACTATAGCCAAATGAGCGAGTCGCATTGAGTTTCTTTGTCAAGGCGGGCTACCTCGCGTGCAAAAGTCGGAGCACGAGGAGCGCAGCGCTCTAGCAGGTATCGACGTGACACGGCGACGAGACAAGACGCGACTCTGCACATTTCAGACGTCCTGATGAACGGATGACGCTGTCTGGCGGACGGATGAGGAGTTAAAGGACCTTTACAAGTCGCGAGCGTGCACTACTGTATTTACTTAATTAGCGTGCCGAGCTTGGTCTTAACAGCTGCGGAGGCTCATGACAGCTCAATTCAAGCATTCCACGTACACAATTATTCGAAGAGAATAGCGACAAGTCAAAGTTGCCGAGACATTGACATCGGCCCGCAAATATGTTCGGCCGCGTACTCCTCACTCTCGATGGCATCATGCTGCTGTTTGGCGCATACATGGCCGATTGGAACGAGACGCATATCCATAACCCGCGGTGGCCGCCGCATGCCAAGTGAGTGATCTTACCTTTCGATGCCGACAGGTTGCACGACAGAAAAAGTCGATGCCGTCAGCCCACATGTCTGCGATCCGTCATCTACGAAAGCTGACCACAACCACCCAGATTCCACAATGCGCAGACAATGACGCTCTCTCTGATCCTGGGCATGGCAACCCTCTTCTTCACGTGGCGAACCAACACGTCTGCCGAAATGGCAAAGGAGTCGTTTCGCATCGCGGGCTTCTTGGGGTCCATTTACTGGGTGGCCGGTTGGGCTTCGCTGCTGTACCCCGGCACCAGCGGGCTGGACCCGGAGCACGGCGGACCGGGGTTCCCGCAGAAGTACCCCTTCACCACGGCGATTGGGCTCGCCGTGACGGGCATGTATCTCGAAGGAGGCGTCTAAATCTGGATTGCGTGGTTGGTCGGCGATGACAATCGTAGGGATAAATGCGATGTGGAGTGCACAACGGGTGAAGATTCAGTTCAGTCAACCACCACGGTGGCGACGGAAAGTGGAGGCATGGAGGCCATTGCGAAAAGTGCTTAATTGGGTTCAAGCATTTGGCGATCCTCTATTTGAGTTGAGGGCAGGCCTGGTTAAGGGCGACGTGGACATCCGGGCTGAGCTAAGATGCTACTCATCATTGTTAAGTTCCTAGGTTACGAATGCATTCATACTCAAAGAAGCTGAGCCTCTCTGTTTATCCTACCATATCCCTCGGCTCGTTCCCTTCTGCCAGGTAAGTGGGACTCGCGAATCGCAATCAACCACCACGGCGGCGAGGACGGCCGCCCAGTTTTCGAATTTAGAGCCGCGGGAAGTGGGCGGACCACGGCACGGCGCATGACCGAGCGGGCGGCGGAGGAAGAAGAAGGGAGAGAATATGGGAAGTCCCCCGGGCGGTGCAACACGGCGCGTCCGAATGAGCTCACCTCGGAGGGAGGCCAAGCGAGAACGGAGGGGCTTCTGGACTTCTCGAGGATTACGTGGAAGCCGTTTTGTTCTCGACCTCTTTTCAATCTCTCTAGATCAACGTTTGTTTCAAAGTTTGTGAGCGATGTGGGCGGGCTTCGCGGAGCCTGTCACACAGGCGTATGGAACCCACCACCGCGGCCTCCTCTCGTGTGTTTCCGCGAATCCGCCCATGTCTCTGAGGGGCGGGACGAGGATTGGGAATTTCTCGGAGACATCCAGAATGACGTGTGCTAAGATTCTTGGGGGACAGGGGTAAGGGAGTTCGACTCCCCTTGTCTCCCCTTCTCCCCCTTCGGGAATTTTGGCAGGATTAACTGGGCAATTGTTTCCATAGCCCATGGGCTCTCGTTGTTGTGTGTATTTTTTGCAGCATGGCTCGGGTTCGCCCCATGGCCCGGCGGCCGGCACATAGCTCCAAGCCACGCAACACACAAGCGGTAAGCTTGAAGTGACATGGTAGCATTGCAATGGCCGAAGATGCCGTCCTCGGCGCCGCAAAGACTTGATGATGGGTGAAATCTGACGGGAGGGGGGGACTCAACTGCAAGGTCTCGGCAGCGGCTATCCGGTTAGCTCGGGAATGGCTTTGGTGGCTGATGTTTTGCTGAAGTACAAACCGTTCATGTTACAGCCAAGTCGGTCAAGACATTTCCTTGGGAGAACACAAGAGCCGCGAGCGCGAACTATTCGCTGTGAGCCTACGATATGCTCACAAAGCGTGTGAGAAAAAAGAAAACAACCTTGAATCTCCAAGGCTTGGGAATATGGATCACCATCCTTCCACCCTGCAACGCAACCACCTTCCCCACTATACCTACTCTCGATGATGGGGACACTCGCGTGATGCATTGCCAGATGAGTTGGGCTCGCCGCAGTCGCTGACTATCCTCTGAGCTGATGATTGACACGGCTCGACCGTTGGCAGTGCTTTCGGGATGTGGAGAAAGGAAGTTTGTCATGACTCCTATGGACGTTCATGGCACTGGTGCAAAATTCCACCCTCTGCCTGCATCAACCCGGCTCTGCATGCCTTCAACTACCTGCAATTTTCCCGAGCATGTTTGCTTCTAGAGGGCGAGGAGAGATGCCAGAAGCATACCTGGTCTCGGTCTTCAGAGCCGTCATGAGACCCTCCGAAACAGAGAAAACATCAAACAGCCGAGACTTCTTCGATAGGTATGGATAACGGACCATGGGGCTGCAAGACAGCAAGACTCAGAATTGGGGCGCCTAGCAGGGACGGCGGAACGCCCAGAAATGTAATGGGCTGCGTAACCTGCAGAAATGCGACACCAACGCGGCAGCGGGTACAGCGGGGGGGGGGGGGAGGGATCAAACACACGCAAGACGAACCAACATACTATCCAGCCTCCTGGACGGATGCAGACACACGTCTGCAAGCCCCTGAGCCACCGTGACACCATGAGACTCCAGGTCTGAAGCCGTTATCCGTACAGAGTGTCTACGTAGTATAGACTCACTGCCTCTCAGGCTCTCACTATCATCTCTCTATCGATAGACTCTATTTCTTAAGTGTTGACTGTTAAGAAATATTATACTCCATCGATGAAAATAGACTTATTGTCTTGATCCCCGCCGTCCAAGGGGGCGGACCGAGAAAAGAATAGGGCCATGGTCCCAGAAAACCAAACCAAAAAAAAAAAAGCCTGAGCCACACACGCGCAATTCGCAAGCCCATAGGACCCCCATTCAGATGACTGTCTCCACTTGAGCTTACGACGACTGCACATCAAAGCAAGGATGACACAATCCCCAGCAACCCAAGAGCGGTGCGGCAACCACAGTGACAAGCGCCGACTAACGTTGTGCGGTTTCTATGGCTCTCTTTCTCAGCTGGCCCTGCCCCCGTTTCGTTCGTTCTCAGCGCTCCCGCCGCTGCGTTCCTAAGAAATGCGAGGATAAGGCAAAGTAAAAGAGGTGAAAGGACAGGCCCACCACGCCGATGTGCCCACTCTCCGCCCGCCTGGATGTCAAGTTGAGGTGGAAGCTGGGATGAACCGGGGATCATGGATGAGAAGACCATCAGACTAAGCCGCCTTCCCGCCTTCCCCTCTCCAATCATTAGTGACGACGGTGAATGTCTCTTTGCCCAGTTTCCATATCAAAGTACCGAGTGACATGGAGAATGTACGGTAGCCACACCCGGTGATAGTCAGTTAGTGACATTGAGAGCGCCCAGATGATTCAAGGCTGGGCCACATCCCGAGTGTTCCCTGGAAACCCGGAGGAAAGGCCCCCTTTTTTTCTTACCACAATTCCTATCGTTTTGTCCTGCAAGAGGGTCTGAGAGGTTGCTTTTTGAAGGGACGTCTTCCCATCTTCTTTAGTGTGCCTATTGTTTCGTCCTTCCTCCTGTTGGATCCCTTTGACCTCTTCGACACTTTTGTACCTGATCAAACCTCCGAAATACCTTTCCTCACTCTTTTTCTTGTTTCTGCGGCTTTCATTCTCTGTTTATGCAGAGCCTCTTCTGGTGACTACTTGATTCCTTATAGATCATTTGAAGTAGATCAACGGCCAAAATCCCGGCACACCATCCGTCTCCGACGTATTCATCCCGGCCGTCCGGTGTAGCAACCTCTTGGCGGTCGACCATTGACTTTTTCGCCTCCTCGACTGCCGGCTTGGCACGGTACCACGAACAACAACGGTGTTCCATCTACACACCACACACACGTACAAGCGCCTCCTAGATTGGGAAGGACTGTGTAAACCACCATACTGAGGGATCACGAAATATCATCCGAAACATAAACGGCAAACGACATATTTTCCGTCATCATTGTCGCCAGTTAATACTCAGGGGAAAATTAAGCAACGACAGCAGAGGAAACGACAGCGAAACTTGAACGAAGAAACGCCACGCACCGGTCGCCCCGTCGACTCCCCTCACCAACCGTGGCGCCTAGACTCATCCCGAGGATCATCGTCACCTTTGACGACGCAACTCAGTTCCCTCGACACACATCGCACAGAATGTCAAAGGAGCTCCCCCGCCACGAACGGCGGCCTTCATCACCAACGGCGTACAGCACTAGCAGCAGCAGCAGCAGCAGCGCCTCTGGCAGCCCATTTGAGCAGTGCGACATGAGCCTGAAGATGCTCCTCGCCTTTGTATCCACACGAGTCCTGCGCGGCGGCCCGCGGCTCATCGTTCAGCTCGTCCTTGCTTTTTGCGGCCTGCTCATTTTGGGCAAGTTCTTCACATCACCCACATCGACAGATACGATATTCGATTCAGGGTCAAGATGGAGTTGGTCGCCTTTTGGCAAGAGCGCGGCGGATGCTGGATTCGGACCTGGTGGTGTGAGAGTTGTTGCGTTCGGATCGCCTGATATCGCGACGCCGTCGAGTGGAAAGGGAGCCAAGGGCAAGGGGTGGACTGAGGCCCTCTGCGACGAGGTAAGTTTGATTTTTGTGTTCGTATGGCTCTCGGGATACAGTTGACTGACATGATCTTAAGCTCCGATGCTCCTCTCACCAATCCTTCACCCCTTCAATCAGTCTCCCAGCACAGGCTTTGACATCTAACCAACATTATCGCGACACCATCGAGAAGGTCCAGCGTGAAATCGAAGAGTACAAAGCGCCAGGCTTTAACTACGACTTCCTCCTCGAGCAGTTCCCCATCGCGGACACCGTCGCCGACCTCGCCGCCCAGATCGACAGGTTCCTCGCCCAACCCCAGACTCGCAACAACATCCCCAAGGAGACGATTTGGGTCTTCTCCTTTGGCACCTGGGATATCTGGACCCTCGCCTCCCTACCACGAGAGCTCGGCCAGGGTATAGTAGACCTTGCCGCCCGCGCCCTCTTCGCACAGGTTGAGCGCGTCTACCAAGCCGCCCTCGACAACGACTCCGTTGCCTTCTCCGACTTTTGGGCCTACCAAAATGCCTCACTCATCGACAAGCTAAACAACATGGATCGCGAAGGCGGCGACGTCGACGAGCGTGAGATCGAAAACTTCCGCGTCGTCATCCCGGAACTCTTTGACGTATCCCTTACCCCCGGCTGGCATGCCCAGCGCCCCGCGCCCCCGAGTCCCCACACCAAGGCCGAGCAAATGACCAACGCGGCACACCTCACCGCGCGATGGAACTCGGAGATTAAGGGCCGCATGGATGAGTGGATGCGCACCGCCGACCCTCAGCCCGAGAACCCCGAGGAGGAGAGGGGCAAGTTCGGCTACGTGCCCGCCAGCAAGCGCGCCGCAGCTCACTACCGCCGCTCCCGCGCGGAGCAAGGTCTCAAGGCCGCTCCCAAGGGCGAGGCCCTTCGCGTGCCGTTCCCCCGCCGTGTGGCGGCGCAGATCAATACGGCCAGCTTCGTCCGCGAGGCCATCATCGAGAAGCAGATGCGCGAGTACGACCTGACAGACAGCACGGGACGGGGCAACAGGACAGAGGATGGCGACAATCTCTTCTTCGCTGAGGCGTGGACGCCGTGCATCTGGGCAAAGACCTCAGAGACGGCTGAGGCTGCGAACGGAGGGTACGCTGCGTGCGATAAGCCCGAGGAGTACCTCTTCCACTCGCCCTTCACATTGAGCGAGCGGGCGATTGCGCACACGGCCAAGATCGTTGCCGGCGAGGCGAGAAGCAGGCTTGCTTTCGTTGATGCGGTTGACGAGGCCAAGGAGGGAGAGACGGCGACGGCTAGGGTCAAGAGACATGAGCCGAGGAGCGAGTTGGGTCACTTCCAGCGTGTCTTGCGTCCGAATCTCGCGTCGCGCATCGTCGAGGCCGCGTGCCCGACATTGGACGTCTGCTAAGTGGTTTGTTTCTTTTGTCTCGTCATGAACCACCGTCCTATGAGGCCTTATCCATATGATAAGGTATCCATCGTGAGGTACAGGTGGATGATTTTGGTGTATTTCGCGGCATTGGCATTGGCGTTGGGAGGGTATTGGGTTACAGGGACAACCAAAGCATCATCGTGTCATTGACGGCCCCAGAATAGTTGGGACTAGACAGAGTTTAGGATTAAATCAGATACCGGGGACATCCCCACAGAACCAGTCATAGGCAATGACATTTCCATTGAGTACATCCCAGGCGCCGAACCGCATTGGTGATGAATCCTGATCCGCGTCTCTGGTAAGTCGTCTTCCTCAAGTCGTTCTATTTTTTTAAGATTTGGTGTCAGCCAGACGTCTCTTGAAAGATAGTTCGAATACAGTTCCTTTGCGCGTCAAAGCAGAAGACCACGGAAACGAACCTGAAGAAGCTGATATAACATAGACAAGCGACCGCAAGTCGGACGCAAAGCCGTCGCTTCATGCCGGTTTTATCAAGTTGATCGACGTCGACTATCTCGCTACCTAGCGTAGTATCATCGCGCTGTCCTGCCATCATGGTCGTCAGCATCGCCGCGCGAGGAAGCGCAGACGTGCAACGCAGATCTCGCCAAGGACTGTAGGGCAGACTGTCAGGGAGAGTGGCAAGGATTCAAACGGGGTCACGGGTCAATGGAACGAGAACGTCCGATCTTGGCCTTCCACCTGGGACATCTGATGTCATTGCCTTCAATCGCAAGCTCGCCGACTTTGATAACATTACTCAAAAGTTCCCACAAAGCTCGCTCCCTTGGAGTTGATGGAAAACAATGATTGAGATTATCGAATCCTTCGAACCATGCCAAGATGCGACCCGGGAATTCCCACCAATCCGCCGTCAACAGATGCCGCACAACCACTCACCCGCTCATTCACTCTGCCACTCTGCCACTCTGCCACTCTGCCACTCTGCCACTCTGCCACTCCAACCCAGCTCACCTCAGCGACCACCGGCCGTCCGAGGCACGCCGTGCATGGCTGGCTACATTTACGCGCAGTGCCCTTTTCCTTGCTCGAGTTATGTTCCTGAGCGCCGCCAGAGCTTGAAATATGGCAAGACTGCTTAAGCTCGCTGACATGGTGCGGCACAGCAGATTTGTCGCTGAATCGGGCAATGGAATGACGAAATGTAGCATGCCCTCTTTGCCCGACTTATGTCTGCTTGGCATTTTAAGACGCTAGCAAACAACCCAATGTGACGATAACCTGGGGAGCAGTCTGACAGACCGAGCTGACATGCCCTTGCCAAGAAAAACACATGCAAGCCGCTGTCTTAGGCGCCTTCTCATCGCAACCGCCTTGGTGCTGTCAGCTTATAGTTAAAAGCGACTTCCCCTCAACCCGAGTCTAGCAGACCGCGTTTATAGTCGTTTCTTGTTCATAAGGCTCAGAATCATAACAAATAGAATATCGCAACTCCGGCTCCAAACCAGCCCAACATGCCTCTCACCGAACTCTCCCAGCATGCAATCACAAACGTCGGGCCGCTGACAACAACATTCACCGCGCCCAGTTCATGCGCTACCTCATCCCCGAGCCTCTGGCTGGCCGCAGAATCTGCCTTCACGGACCGCGTGCAACCTTTTTTCCGTCAAAAATGCGAAGGTTCGGTGTACGGCGAGTGTTTCCCCTCCGGCACCCTGTTTGATCAGCTCCGCTCAGAGGCCTCTGCCACCGTTGGCGCGGGCACCATTGCCTACTTTTCGCCCGCAAGCGCCTGTCCCGATCAGTACACGACGGCTGGTGTCGCTGTCAAGAATGCCGAGGGCGCGATCAGTTCGTCTGGAGTCTTTGTTCCGCCCATCGTCAGCGTGCCGTTTGGGTCTGGGTTCATGAGTGATAGGCTGGGGTATAACCCCATTGTCAACGTTCTTATGGAGGCTCTCGACAGCAATGAGACTGCGGTTATCTGCTGTCCCGAGTAAGTGCAAGCTCGTGGTCACTTCTGGCAAAGGTTTTGTGGACGTTAACAAACATTCCTTCATCAGTGGCTACGCTGTAGGGTTCAACGGAGAATGCTTTTCGCAAGTTCCAGAGTCGGTGTACGGCACCATGACGGCGTGTCAAAGGCTCTTTAGCAATGTGACCATGGTGCCCGCGACCTTCACCTACAACAATACCGTCGTCTCCGGAGCTGTATACTCGTACACAGCCACCAGCTACGATATCAAGACTAAGACGCAGACCTTTACCAATGGCCGGGAGGATGCCTGGGTTCCGGTTGCTTCGAGACCCGCCGTGACAATGATTTACAGCGCGGCTGCGCAGACCGGCACTAGCAGCGCAGGTGGGAGCGGCACGACGGCTGCTAGCGGGTCCTCAGCTCCGACAGGGACGGGGGCGTCCAGTGCGGCTCATAGCCTTCGAATGACGACGTCGGGGGGTAATGTCGGAATACTGGCGACGGTATGGGCTTTTGCGGCGCTTGCTGGTGTTGCCTTGGCGGTGCCTTTGTGAGAGATGGTGGATGACAGTGTCGAGACCAAGATCTATCCAGATGATACCTACTTGTTTTTAGGCTTTCTCACTCATGACCGAATGCTTAATGATAGTGATACCAAATAAACCCCTTCAAGTCCATTGGAAAAGTTCTTCAGGGAAAGTTGGTCTTGAAGGTGTATCTCACAACCAGGAACCCACCTGATGATTCCTCGCCCGAGAATGTTCCTTGAATCCATCAGTGCTGCCTCTATCATCGACACCGTTTTGGCAACACATACTTAGACAGATGAAGACTTAGAAAATGAATCGACGATCTGGAACTGCAAAGATATCTTCTTCCAATCGGTATTACCGACTCTTTCCAGCGCGGGACTTTCACGACTACCACGCATTGATGATGCCAAGACTAGGCAGCCACTGGCAACTTACCTAAAGCCCCCTCCTGCTCGCCCATATTGTCGGTCCATTCCCATGTGCCGCAGTAAGCCGAATACTACCTGAGCCATCACTTGTCGCCTTTTCTACAGTATTCATCTATCTATCAGCGTATATCATGTGTCAAGCACCCAGGCTTCGATTTGAGATAAGGCAATGAGTATCAAGAGAGCAATCTACAATCCATGCAAGTGAGTCATTACTTTCCTAAAATGCGGCCTTGAAGACCCCCACGGCTACCGGGATCTTGGGAACAGGTCTAGAGCGGGCAACCGCGTACTTTATGGTGAACATGAACTCGGTCCAGAAAGTGCATTGTCTTTATCATGAAAATAGCTCTAAACTCCCCATCAAGCATGTGCATCGTTGAAGGATAACGTACATTAGGGTGGCGGCTGCGACTGAGCGAAATTTTCATTTTTGAAAATCATTGACATTCACCGTACTTAGTGAGTACTAACCCTTCAACAGAAAACTTGCCTCGCCAACCTTTCAATTTCATGGCCTCACTGAACAGCAACCGCATATTGGTGTTCACAAATTCACCCAAGTGACACCTCGCCACCGAGTCATGTTGCTTGAGTTCCATAAATTTAGGTTCAGGCAGCTGGCGGACAATATTTTAGCTCGCTGAAATATCCCCGAGCCGATCAAACTAGTGGCATCTGGTCACGAACATAAAATAGCATTCGCGCCATACGCCAGACGGGCTGCTTTTGATAAAATGTTTCTGGGAACAACTTGAAGCCTTCCACAATCTGTTTGGGAGAGATACCCCCAGTTCCAACACCCTACGTCCTGAAACTTCCATGCCGATTCTTCGACTAGAGGACTCGAAAATGAGCGAACTACAATTCAATCAGTTCAGCGTAAGCACCCAGCCGACGTCTTTCATGTCACATGACGGCAGCTGACGTTTCTCGAATCGCCAGAACGATGAAGTTCAACCTCAGTCTGTTGCTGATGCCTCCGGGATGATTCGGCTCCCGGGCTACGGCCTGCCGCTGAACTACCTGCCAGACAAGCGAGATAGATTCCCTGTGCTCATGGAAGACACCAACAAGAGCTGGAAAGCCAGTACTCTGCTGATTCGAGAAGTCTGCATGCTCAAGTTCATGGAAGACATTACGAACAAGCCTGAGTGGTGGCGCAAAGTTCGAGATCCAGTGATTTCCGCCAAGTGGAAGGAGGAAGTGCAGGCCTTGGACTGGGCAGCGTACAGAAGCCATGGGGACTTCACGAAGAACATGGCTGAAGCGGTAAGTTTCAGTCCAATTCATATAGCCTTCACATGGCCACGAGAAAGCAATCGCATGGATGGAGCTGACATTGAGATTCCAAGTGCATGCAAGAACTTCGAAAGAAGGCAGCGTTGTACGATGAAACGAGCCTCATTCCTGTCATGGATTACTCTACTTGTGTCATCAAGTCAGACAAGCTTCTGCCCAGCTCCCTGGTTGATCGTCTCAAAGTCTCTGTCAAATCTCTCGAAGATATTCCCGACATCGAAAAGGACTGGCATCCGGGAAGTGACGGTAAAGTCCTCGACTTAGTGCACCCGTCACTCTTCCCACTCCTGTACGGCCGCTCACGTATCATGCATCAACGCATCGCATTAGACGACTGCCTCGAATTTGGCGGACGTGGTTTCCTCATACCAAAACCCGACGAGTCTGACGTTGGTGAAGGTAGAACTTTCGACTGGCAAGGCGCACCTGTTGAGCTGGTATCCACGAAGTTCCAGTGGCTACCATCTGACGTCGCCATTGACGAAGACGGCCGACCCACCATCGAGAGTTATGTCAATAACTTGCACCCAAGGGAACATTCCGATCTGTACCCCATAATCGAAGAGCTGATACAGAAAGCTTTACCAGCTTGGGATATTATCTATCGCTGGGTGAGAAAGTTCCCGGTACAGCGTCTTAGGGCGCGAACGGTCGGAAAGCGTGTTGCGATACCTGATGTTGTCCCTGAGCAGGGAGACCAGTTAAGCGGGAACGAAAGTAATATTCCCATAGATAGGCCAGATGGACATTACCTGGAGATTGACGACTTAGTCCCGCCCACAGCTGCTACTGGGGAGAAGAGAGGCAGACAACGCGGAAACGCCAACGAAAGCAAGCGTCTGAAGAGCGACGAGGCGGCCTCTGAGGATGAAGGGGACGAAGTTGAAGACTATGATGAAAGCGACGATGAGGACGATTACGATGACGACTATGACGACGATGATGACAGCGACAGCGAAGACGAACAAGTCCGAGAACCCTCCTCGTACTTCAGACTCTCACCCAAAAACATCAAGCAAACCGGATTCTTCAACAACGCACCCCGCATTCAAGTAATCGCCAAATTTGCCAACATCCACCTCACGCCCGAGAAGCCATCTTACGACGGCGGCTCATGGCACATCGAAGGCCAACTCAACGAGCACATCTGTGCCACAGCGCTCTTCTACTATGATAGCGCCAACATCACCGAGTCCCAGCTCGCTTTCCGCGCTCCAGGGAACAGGGAGAAGCTGGACCAGCGTCTCAACTACCAGCAGTACGATCACAAGTCCATCGAAAAGGTCTTTGCTATCCGTAGTAGCTCCGATACACTCCAGGAGGTGGGCAGCGTGCTGACGCGGCCTGGGAGGGCGATCTTCTTTTCGAATTTAAGCCAGCATAAGGTGCGACCTTTCAGGTTGGAGGATCCAACGAAGCCTGGATATAGGAAGATTGTGGCTTTGTTCTTGGTCGATCCTGCTGTGCCTGTGATTTCGACGGCAAATGTGCCTCCTCAACAGAAGCATTGGTTCGAGGGTAAAGACCAGGTTCAGGCAGCGAATGACATGGTTGAGACCATGAGTGCTCTGGTTGAACTAGACGAAGCAATGAAGCTGCGCGAAGAGCTCATGAAGGAAAGAACAGTTTTGTCAAAGACTGTCAACGACGAGTTGAGAGATGTGGAGTGGAGTTTTTGCGAGCACTGAGATAAAATTGAGTCGGCCTTGCTAGTACCGAGACTCTATATAGATATAAACTGGAGGTGATTCAGTACCTCAGAGGTTTTCATACTGTTATGACTGTTGAGGAAAGGCGTATGCCATGTATGAAGAGAAACTACGCCATCCTTCAAGCATGCAACTGTTGACGGATACGACAATGGCCCATCTCTGCTTTACTTGCTTTGCATCCACGGGTTGGGATGCCCATCCCTGACCAAAACACCGTTATTGACCCTTGCACGATCTGTAATGCCCTTCCGTTTCTGACAACATCTGGGAACAGCCAATACCTTCTTTCCTGCGTACTCCAATGCATCAACCGGAAATCTCACGTATTCGTTGGCGGTCTTCCCCTGATCAGACTCCACCTCGATGATGTTGAGTTGTAGTACCTCCGGATCGGCGTCATCTACGGGAACAAGATAATCAAACGTAACACCATAGTAGTCAAAGTCGCTATTTAGAAAGACACATGTCGTTAGCTGTAACCACTTCGGCCGGCAATGAATCAGACCTTACTCCACTATTCTTTTATCCTGTACAATCCTTCCAATGTATTCGTCCCGTACGACCAAATCGCCGGGGACATCAGGACGGACACTCTCCCCGTAAATGTGCCGAAACGTCAGCGTTGCGAGTGGTGGACCAGCTTCCTGAGGAAACTTCCCATCAAATACGCGAGTATCCCATACAACAGACGGGGATAGCTTTTCAATCGATTCTCGCGGACCTTCGATTCTGATTCTGAGCGGCCGCTCAATATCCGGTAGATGGAGAGGCCCAGCAGGAGATCTCACACAGGACAGAATGAAAAGCTCAAGAGCCATGTCGATCAACTGGGACCTGGCAGTGTATTGATGCGATGCCAGTCGCCTTGTTTCGAAGAGGGGTAGAATTGCCTTGCTCTTATACTGCATGCAGTACAGCAGATACATACATACATACATAGTTTATTACGCCCCGGCTAAGCTGTTTAGGGCTCGCATGATTATCTACATATTCTCCACATTCGTTCATATCCTTGCCTCCCAGAAGCCCATACAAGTCTTGTTCGTCTCCGTATGTGTCTTTTTTAGTTTTGCATGTCGATGCTGCGGTTGCTCGTGGGGTTAGTAGCAGGCCATCTCGGAGTTGTTTCTCAAAGTGTTCGACGTCCTATCGTCGGCGGCCGAAGCTAGTCCTGCTGTCGATGGCACGAGGATGCGTGGGGGTGTCTCCGGTTAATTTGATGATGTTAGTTGCGTGTGGTTTCGCTGCTGGCTGATCTGTGCATCTAGCCTCTCCGTGCTCATGGCGAACTTGATCGTCTCTTTGACAACGTCTACGCTTGGCGACCAATCCTTAGGGTCGGACGCGCGCTTTCCTCCCAGGAAGTATGACAGATTTCCTCTCCGCGTTTCCGTCTGTTGGAGCATCCGAGTCCGCTGTGCCGTCCACTGTGTGCATCGAAAGAGAAAATGCTCTACCGTTTCTGCAGATTGCCCGCAAGCGCATAGCGCCGCGGCGGTTGCGCCGATCTGGTAGAGGTACCAGTTCAGCCTTGCCATTCCGGTGCGTAGTTGCGCTAGAATGCTGGCTTCTTTCCAGGCCAGTCCGTCATACAGCTTGCGTGTGTGGTTTCCCGGCAGGGCTATGTCGATCTTCTTCGAATATGCTCCTACGTTGTCGGGCAAGGCTCCGTGCTTCTGTCGCACGCTCTGTAAAGCGATCCTAAGTGCCGTCGAGTAGGCTCTGGCCGGCCGTTTTTGTGGTGTCTTGTTTACTTGGGTACTTTCCTTTGCTGCTGCTTTGGCCGCTTGCGCCAGGTCTGACTCTATCGATGATGGAAGCCAGAAGAGAGTGACTCTGTTGCCTCGTCTCTGCAGAGCTTGCACGCTGGCATATAGTTGTCGGATCTCTTGTTGGCCTGACTGCTGCCGCGGGTTGTGCATCACCAACACTGCCGCTTTGTTGCGGGTGAAGACGTGGATGGCCCGGTACTCGAGTCTCTCTGGGAGAGACTTGACCGCTTCTGCCAGTGCCGCTAGCTCTGCTACATACGGGTTCTGCTCCGTTCTCTGACCGAACGTACGCGAGGCCGTCACGACGCCACCGCCCCCTCTGAAAGATGCGGGCAGCGTCGTCGCCGTTCCAAAGCCCACAACCTCGTTCCTTGCTGAGCTCCCTGTCGCTATCCTCACTGCCCATCCAGACCGGATTGCCTCAGAGGCCTTGACCGTGTCGTCGTCGACTACTGTATCAATACGACGTTCCCAAGGAGCGATCGAATACCCTTCGATAGTCTCCAGCTTGTCAAGGGGTAGGTCGCGATAGGCCTCCGCCATCAACTGGAAGGGTGACGGAAACCGTCTAAAGGCCACCGCCCGCAGACGTCGAAGCGGATGGGTCTTGGGAAGGCTTCGCAGCCGTACCCAGAATGTCGTTGATTTTCTGTCGTACCTCTCTTGCGCCGATTGTATGCTTGCCTCCGCTTCAGCGACCGCCGTGGCCACCGTGTTGAAGGTTCCCACGATCGCTTGGGCGCCAATCCTCTGCACTCGGTTGATCACCCTCATCTGCGCTGCTCGACACCTGTACCTCCAGACGTTCGACGCGTAGTCCATCGTCGGTGCTACGGCCGCCACGAAAAGCTGTCTGGCCGTCGCCGGAGACAGGCCTTTGAGCCGTTTGAGCCCCAGCACGGCCTCCAGCCCTTTTGTCGTCGCGTCTGCGATGTGCTTTTCGAAACGGAGTTTCGTGTCCATCATCACTCCCAATACTTTGACGTGGTCCTTTGCTCGGACAGTGTCACCTTTGATGACGAAGCTGGTTGAGTCCGCCGGCAGCCTCCAGTTGCGCGTGAAGTGGATGATGGCCGTCTTGTCCGTCTCGAACGTCGCCCCGCTTCGTCGTTCCCACGCGAGTGCTCGATCGATAATATCTTGGATGCCCTGACGGTTTGCTTCGCGCGATCGGCCTGTGACCACGCCGTGTAGTCATCGACGAAGGCCAGCGCGCCCCCGTTCTCGTCGATTTGGTGCTGTACGAGATCGGCGTTGAAGAAGAGGAAGAGCACGGGCGAAAGCGGCGAACCCTGAGGCAGTCCGGCTTGTGGTAGCGGACGAGCCTCGGACTCGTGACCGTTAACCAGGATGCTTGCCGTTCTATGGGAGCAGAAGGCGTCCACCCATCTCACCAGCTTGTCCGGGATCCCCCGCGCTCTGAGTCTTTGAAGTAGTCTCTCTTTGTACACACCATTGTATGCTCCCTTGACATCGAAGCTGACCAGACTGACCACCTTTCTCTTTCTCCACGCTCTGTAGATGTACTCCTGCAGCAGTACCAGCGCCTGCTCTGCCGACCTCTGCTTGCGAGCGCCAAAGTGGCTCGTGGGAAGGAGGCCGAACGTCTCGACAGCGTGCGAGATACGTTCTGCCAGGACCGACTCCAGCACTTTTCCGAGCGTCGAGAGAAGCGAGATCGGTCGCCAGGCCTTCGCTATACCGTAGTCGCTTTTGTTTGGCTTCTTCAGCGGGATGATCTTTGCGTGTCGCCACTGCCTCGGCAACACCCCTTCATCCAGTGAGGTCTGGAAGAGTGTAAGCACCCTCTCCTTCACCACTGGCCACGTGTGCTTCCACACTGCCACCGGCAGACCGTCCTCTCCGGGTGCTTTCCACGACTTTGCCGCAAAGAGCTGTCTCTCTACTTCTCCCAGTGTGAGGTTAGGGAAGGGTACCGGCGATCGTTGTGGCCGATCCCCCTCCTCCTCGATCATGCTGGGGAGAGGAGGGAAAAATGTGGAGAGCAGCTCTTCGGCCTGTTCTGCGGCGTCTCCCGTTTGGGAACCATCCGCCCTTTTAAGTTGAGGTATCTTGTCGAAAGATGCCCCTTTACTGGCGTCGAGATACTTCGCGGCCTTCCAGATATTGGCGTCGTCGGCCAGAAAGTCCTCCCAATGGCTCTTCTTCTGTTGTCGGATGGCATCGTGATATTGCTTGGCTGCCGAGCGTGCGCGTTGCTCCAGTTCAGGTTGACTGTTACCTGCCCTTCTCTCCGCTCTCGCCCGGTTTCTCCAGTGGGTATGGATCTGCCGGAGCTGGGTGAGGTCAGCCGTCCACCATCTCTTTGCATACGGTGATGGCTTGGCCGTAGGTGTCAGTGCCTCTACTGCCTCGCACACCACAGACATCAGTCGATCCGTCTGTTGCTGCACCGTACCTCCTGTTGGCATTCGCCCTAGGTTTGCTTCTACTCTCTCATTGATTTGCTTCCATGGGGCGTTCTTGAGGAGGAGCCGTGGCCGGCTTTCCATCTCAGGCGCGGCGATGTCGAAGGTCGTCTCGATCGCCCGGTGGTCCGACCCGTGGTCCGTCTCGTGCAGGCCGCATCGTACCACCGTTCTTGCTAGCTCTTCGGACGCGAGGGATAGGTCGATCGTCGTTGCCGCATCGTTCTTCTCCCACGTCTTCGTGCCACGCGGAAGGAGGCTGCGGAGCGAGTACTCGCTCATTAGATCGATGATCGGGTCCGCCTCGCCCTGCCGGCCCTCCGACACATCGTCACCTCCCCACAGGTAGTCGTGGCAGTTGAAGTCTCCTACCAGAACCACGTCCACCCTCTCCCCTGTTCCTCCTCGGACATTCGTGATAGCTTGTCTCAGCAGGTCGCACGCCTGCCGCAGCATCTCCGGCCTCTGCACCGGCACGTACACCGACGCCACTATCAGTCTTCGATCCGGAAGCCGGACGATGGCCGCAGTGATATCCGAGGACGCTATCGGCAGCTGCTCTGTCTCTACGTCTCTGTTCACCCAAAGCAAACTCCTGATTCCCCATCTTCCTTCGTCCTCCACTCCGTTGGTACCATCCTCGTCCACCTGCTATTGCCCATCGGAACCGTAATGACCTTACCTTCTATCCTCCGCGCCCATGGCTCCTGCACCGCTATGGCCGTGAAGTCGCGCAACGCCTCATCATTCATCAGACTTTCGTGCACTGCAGCCTGTTTCCTCACGTTGAGCTGAAGGATCTGGACCTTCCTACTCATGGGAACGCGGATACAGCTTCGGACAGTTCTTGCTGAACGACTCGTGCGGTCCGCCACAGGGCACACATGTCACGATCGTCTCACGGCATTCAGAGTGGTGGTGGCCTACCTTGGCGCATCGTCCACACACCCGGGGTTTACGCACTGGTACGCCTTGTGCTTCGTGATCTGCTGGCAGTTGTAGCACTGCTGGGGGCGCGGCCGCCGTTCAAACGCCATCGTCGTGCCGGACTCTCCTCCAACGTGGAAGAAGCCCTCGGAGATCAGTCTACGCGCATCACCGGCCTTGGTCACGAACACGACCATGGACCCATACGCCTTGGGTATCTCTTTCTTGCTAAGCCAAGAAATCTTGGCAACCGTGGTCTCGTTTTCTCGGCTAAGTGCCTCCGCCGCTTCAGCCTGACATTGCCCTTCTCATCCAGTACCTCATTCGCTTCACGTTGTCGATCTTCACGGGATAGAGTTCGTCTCGTAGCACGCGTGCTCCACGGCCGAAGCTCTTCTCCGCGATCTGCTTGACATACCTATGCTCCGCATCGTCGCGACAAATGATCCGGATCCTATCCGCGTTCCTTGGGTCTACCGTGACGGCCAGACACCGCCAGCTACCTGTCCGTCCAACGCGCGCATCTCCTTTTCCACCGCAGCCCGGATCCGGCCTGGGTTGAGCTTGTCGCTGCCTTCTTCAACTCTTGATGTATCGATGTACAGAAGGGGTCGCTGCGGCTCGGCAGCGTCGCTTGCCCGCCGTGGCTACCGCGAGTCGCACCTTGCCCACCTAAGCCGCTTCGCGCGACGTCCGCGTAGGACACACTTGGCTGTTCCGCGTCGCAGCAACTGTTGCGAGTGCTTCGAGGTTTTCGTTCGTCTTGGCGCTTTCGTCCTCCACGCGTTCTTTCATCGCTTGCAGCTCTCCTTTGACGGCCTGTAGCTCGCTCTTGACTGTTTGCAGCTCCGAAGTGACCACGCGAAGCTC